CAACATCTGGAAAGCGTTTTTGCCAAAATCAAAGTGGGGGCTGCACTCATTGGGGAGGACCTTCAGACTGCCCAGGCAAGATTTGAGGAGAATCCCTCATTCAGGGACTTGGGCTTCAGTGAGCAGATGGTGGGAAATGCAGGATCTGAAGAGGCAGGGCTGCAAGGGATGGCAATGCAGTGCTGCCCCGAGTCACAGAATCATGGAAGCACAGAATCATAGACCATAGAATCATGGAATTATAGAATCATGGAACTGTGAAATCACAGAATTATTGAATTGCTTAAGTTGGAAAAGTCCCCTAAAAGCACCAATTGTTCCCCCAGGACTGCCAAGCCCACCCCTAAACCAGAAATCAAGAACTGAAATCAAGAAAGTTTAAACAAAAGGATTAAACATCTCCTTTGTCCATCCAACACCAAAACCATTAATTTTGCAGTTTTGAAAACATTGGTTTTCTTTAACTCCTACCAAAGTGGCCTTGAATTTCTCTGGTGTGCCACATCTCTGTCCCTAAGTGCCACATCCACACACTTTTTGAGCCCTCCCAGGGATGGGAGGGAAGGGACAGTGGCTCTCATTCAGGAGTGATCTTTGCTGGCAGAACAAAGATGCATCAAGGTGCTGACACCTTGAGACCAAGGAGAATCAGCAACACCAGGGGAAGACCCACAAAGCCCTGAGGACCTCGGGAAGAGGAGGGAAAATGGGAGCATGGGCTGGTTGGGGTGGCTGTGTCCCACTGTCAGGGCCTGGGAGCAGTTTGGGGGGGGAGCAGAGCTGAGTTAATCATGGAAGCACAGAATCATAGACCATAGAATCATGGAATTATAGAATCATGGAACTGTGAAATCACAGAATTATTGAATTGCTTAAGTTGGAAAAGTCCCCTAAAAGCACCAATTGTTCCCCCAGGACTGCCAAGCCCACCCCTAAACCAGAAATCAAGAACTGAAATCAAGAAAGTTTAAACAAAAGGATTAAACATCTCCTTTGTCCATCCAACACCAAAACCATTAATTTTGCAGTTTTGAAAACATTGGTTTTCTTTAACTCCTACCAAAGTGGCCTTGAATTTCTCTGGTGTGCCACATCTCTGTCCCTAAGTGCCACATCCACACACTTTTTGAGCCCTCCCAGGGATGGGAGGGAAGGGACAGTGGCTCTCATTCAGGAGTGATCTTTGCTGGCAGAACAAAGATGCATCAAGGTGCTGACACCTTGAGACCAAGGAGAATCAGCAACACCAGGGGAAGACCCACAAAGCCCTGAGGACCTCGGGAAGAGGAGGGAAAATGGGAGCATGGGCTGGTTGGGGTGGCTGTGTCCCACTGTCAGGGCCTGGGAGCAGTTTGGTGAGGGAGCAGAGCTGAGTGTCCCACTGGGGCTGTGCAGTAAATTCCAGGCCAGATCCCAGAGAAGTGCTGCTCCATCACAGTGGCATCCTTGCCACATGCTGGGCCACCACCAGCCAGCTCAGGAAAAGAACAAATTGGCAGCATTCAGAGGAATATTCTGTAGGCACACAGTTTGTGGTGATTGGGATGGGGCCCAGCCTCATCCCCAGTGGCACAGCTGTGAGCAGCAGGTGAGCAGCACTGACAGCAATGAGCCATGGAGTGCCCAGGGGCACTGACCAACATCAAAGGGAGCAGAGGGCACACAGGGGCAGGGCATCAGCATGAGGGGATAAAAGGCTGGGACAAAGAACAGGAAGGGCAGACACAGCTTTCTGAAGTGGTGTGGTGTTACTCTGTATGGGTTGAGGCTTTCTGAAATTGTGTGGTGACATTCTGTGTATCGTGGCCATCTCTACTGCAACAACATTTTTCATTTCCAAGCACATAATTTCTGCCCTCTGGCAAAATAACATCCCCCTCTGCTTTTGCATTGTGTCAAGCTGAACCCAAGGTGGAAAAGGGAAGAAACTGGAGACCATTGGCCTTTGACAGCTGGGGAGATCTCTGCAGCAGAGGTGCTGTGGGGGCAGATTGAGGCTCCCCTGTCTGCCTCCAGAGCTGGAGGGAAGGGATGGGCCAGCAAGGACAGGTCAAGGAGCCGGAGAAAGGACCAGGATGGGATGACCAGCTCTGAGGGGGGTGTTCTTTCCTCCTTCAACACAGTGCCACTTCCCACCATTGCCCTATCCCATCCAGGCCTTCTTTCCCCAGCAGCTGGAGAAAAATTTTGGAGGAGAGAGGCACAGGAAGGAAAAGAGGTGAAAATTACAGCAGGTCCTTGGGCACCAAGGGGATGGAAATGAAGGTGACTTCAAAATTTCCAAACCAGCCGGTGCTGGGCAGGCTGAGGAGGGGGGACAGAAAGACAGCCACCTCTGCTTCTAGGAGTCCTCACACACCCACCAGATTACGGATGATGGAGGAGAGGAATGCCTCATACCAATTAATTCCCAAAGTGTAATTAACATCTGGGCCTGCTCCATGTGATCCCCAGCTGTTAATGAAGCATGGCACTGCTTTAATTCCTGCTACGCCGCACCATCTTCTCATTAAATCCAGGAGCAGGTTCCATCACATTTCCCTTAGAGGAAAAAAGGGAAAGACAGAGAAATGGAGCAGGATTTGTCTCAATGAAATATGATAGATTAGAGTTTGCTGGATAAAGAAAGTAGGGATGGGGGGAGGGCATGGAATGGGAAATTTCGTAGGTGTGTGCACATGGGCATGTGGAAATTCTCTCTCCCCATGACCTCCTTACACCCCATCCATCAGCCTGGGGTTGGCTTATTCCAAGCAGCAGAGCCTTTGCTCGTGTCTAACAGGCCCACCGGACACAATCTGCATGCCAATTACTGGAGCAGACCCCCTGATACTGGGGAATGGAAATTAGCTGTCAAGGAAAACCCGGCATCAGCACGGCTGTGCTCACGTTGCTGTGCTCCCCGCTCATCTCCACGGGCACCCTGCTCCACTGTGGCAGGGGAAAAATGGAAAAAGTCATCTGGAATCACAATAAAATAAAAACTAATGGTAAAAAACCACCCAAGTAGCAGTTTATTGTTATCTGTGTCAGTTGCAAGTGTTGAGGACACAATGTTCACCCAAGGGCAAGAGCCTGGAGGACAAGGAAAAGGAGGGAAGACTTGGGGTAATTGGGTTTTAAAAGTGGGGAGATCAGCAGTGAAAGGGGAGGACATGGGAAAATGTTACCTTGAGGACAAACCAGATCCATGTCTGGCTCCTCCAATGCTCCAGGGTGGATGCATACCAGCAGCCACAGAGCTGGAGCATCCCAAACCCATCCAGTGCAGGGCATGGGGAGAGGGGGACATTGCCCAAAATCAGGGTGGGAGGTGGCTAGAAATGCACTGGGTGGAGCTCACCTACCTACAGATTTTTCATCCACAAGAGAGACAGCAACAGGCTCACTGTCACAAAAACTCAGGAGCCAGGCTGTGCTCAAGCTGCTGTCCTTGGAGAGCTTTGCCAGGAGCCAGGGGGGAAAGGGGAGCTGGAGTTGAGGGCTGGTTGGTCCTGGAGAAATATTGTGGGGAAAAACACAGTGAAACCCAGCCATGTTGCTGGATCATCTGCATCCTGTTGATCTGTGATGGAGAGGAGTGAGGAGGGATGGCAGTGAGTGAAGATGCATCACTGTTTACAGGGGAAGGCTGGAATAGGGCAGGGTGCTAAGGGAGGGGGTGACAGCAGGGAGAGGAGGAAGAGGAAGAAGCAGAAGGCGATTTTCAGCTCATCTTTGTGCCGGGGGAAGTCCAGGGGGCTGGACTTGGCAGCTCTTTCTCATTCCCCACCTGCAGCAGCTTTCCCAGGAGGTGGCAGCCCTGTGGCTTGACGAACATCCCTTCCCCTGGCTCCCTGCTCTGTAATAACCTCATACATCAATGGGAAGAGACTGCAGAGCATGGCTGGGAGGGCTCTGCTGCCACCTCCAGCCTCATTGTCCCAAAGCCCCTCGGCTCTGTGTGCAAACAGGCTGCAGCTTCCCAGGGTTCCCAGGGGAAGAGTGCCCAGCCATCAGTTATTCCTGCCCAGGAGGCTGTGCCTGGGACCTGCCCCTCCTCTGGCAGCACAGGGTAAAATGGGATGTTCCTGGTGGCAAACTGGGCTAACTGGGAGCCCCCTTTACTCCCTGCACATCTCAGGTGTCCAGGGAGCTCTTCCTGCCCTTCAGCAGCCATCTCCCAGGGGAACTCACTGCCTCTATTCCACATCCAGTCTGCTCTCCTGCTTCCAGCTCCTGGCTCATTGTGGTGCCCAGCCCCAGTTTAAGCAGCTGAATCCCTTGGCCCACACCTCCAGGGGACATCCTGTACCTGACACGCTGGGCTGCCAGTGTCCCCACCATTCCCCAGGGAGATTATGGCTGTCCCACTCCTGCTCCATCTGGGATCTCCATTTTGTCCCAGTCCTGTCACCCTATGCATCATGAGAAGCACAAACTCATCCAGTACCAGGACAGCAGCTGCCTGCTCAGGGTGTCCAGGAGGACACATGGCACAGACAAAAACCTCATCCCTTCTCCCAAGCCACCATGGAGCAGCAACAGAGCAGGCAGGGACTCCACAGGGACATGACAGACCGAGCCACTCACAGCCACCACCGAAAACTGGAACCCAGGGATGTGTGGCCCCACCACTCCAGTGGGATGGCCAAACACTGGAGCATGCCTCCAGAGCTGGAGGGAAGGGATGGGCCAGCAAGGACAGGTCAAGGAGCCGGAGAAAGGACCAGGATGGGATGACCAGCTCTGAGGGGGGCAGCCACCACCGAAAACTGGAACCCAGGGATGTGTGGCCCCACCACTCCAGTGGGATGGCCAAACACTGGAGCACAAACTCCAGCTTCAGGATGGCTTTTTCCTAAAGGATCAGTGGGACAGAGGACAGGGAATGGGGAAGGGAGTGACAACGAGGCAGAGAAGGCTCCGCTCCACCCCAGCTCCCCAGAGGCAGGACACGTCGCATGCAAATCCCGGGAATAAGGAGGACAAGGCGGAGCTGAGCGACTCAGTTGCTTTATTGGGGGGGTGTGGCAGCCCTCCGCGGGGCTGGCTCACTCGGAGATGCTGCGGAAGGACTGGACGGCGGGGCTGGCCGCGCCCCACTCCACGGGCTTGCGGTACTCCCCCTTGGGCAGCACGTACTGCCGGCCCCGGTAGTTGGGATGCTCGTAGAACACCCAGACGCCCTCCAGCACCCTGCAGGCGTGCACCTCACGCATGTGCCACTCCTCCATGATGGAGGGGCAGTCTTCGGTGGCTTCGAACATCTGCCCGCCAAAATCTCCCTTCTCAAACACCTGGATGTGGGTTCGGCCTCCACTTGGCTAGGGGGGAAAAAAAAAAAAAAAAGAGAGAGAGAAAATCGAAAATCATAGAGTCATGGAAAGGAAGAGATTTAAAGATGATCCAGTTCTACCTCCCTGCCGTGGGTGGGCACACCTCCCACTATCCCAGGTTCCTCCAAGCCCCATCCAACCTGGCCTTGGGCACTTCCAGGGATGGGGCAGCCACAGCTGCTCTGGGTGACTTCATTGGCAACCAGAGCATCAGATGGAGGCACTGACACATCCCGACTCTGACACTGGGGCAGAGTTTGGGCACAGCCAGACTCCAATCAGGTACCAGCCACCCCAGCACACCAGAACAGGGCTGAAATCTTACCTCAGCCTCCAAAAGCACAGTGGGAAACAGCCGGGTAAATTTTAACAGAGCATCACATGCAGAACAGGGATAAGCTTGAGTCAGCAGTGCTGGTCTCACTATCCCGGGCAGCCTTGAACCCCTCAATGCTCCTTATGTGCATCAGAGAGCCAGACCCCCTCCAGTCCCCTCTCCTCCGGGCAGAGAGGAGTTTAATGAGCTGCTGACCCTGGCGGGGCCGTGTTGCTGCGGAGGCAGCGCTGGTTCCCACCGGGATTGGAAGCGCTCCTTGCCCGAAGGCTCCATGGCAGCGCCTGATGTGAGCTGCCTGGACACCTCTTCCCTGCCTCCCCAGCCCACGCCCTCCTTGCCAGCCCCAAGGCGAGCTCTGCAGGATCTCGGGGTCTCCCCAGGGCAGGGGAAAGCCAGGATCAGGTGGATATGAAGGATAAGGCTCCCACATTTCATCCTGGTGGAGGAAGCTGTGCTGCTCTTGTGTCTCGCACGTGTTTTGGCTCCATGTGCTGCTCTTGTGTCTCGCACATGTTTTGGCTCCATGTCTTAAGCCAGATCAGTGCTCTGAATGGGCTGAAAACTCTCCTTGCCCCATGAAAAGGGATTTAGACCCAGCTCAAAGCCAGAACAAGCTCAGAGGGCTCCCAGGCAGAAAAGCAAAACACTTTCTCAGTTGTGAGACCTGCCCCATGCAGTGGGAATTCACAGCCGTGCTCCAAGTCAGCAACCCGTGGATCGCCAGAGCCTGCCCCACTACTGGAAAACCTCAGCAGCAGCAGCACCAGTCCACACATCCACAATCCCAGTTTTAAAGGATGCCCCTCCCCACAGGCTTCCCAAAAGGATCATTCCCTCTGTTCCTTGCTCCCATCATCAGTTAGGAGGAGATGAGCACACCTTCTGTGCTCTCCTCACACCAGGAGGAACCAGGCTGCTCCAAGCATGGCCAAGGAGGGCTCCAGGAATCCCTCCTGTTCCTGGGCACTCCAGGCTGCTACTGGGCTTGGTCCCTCCACACCCAGAGGAGTTTGATGACACTGATTCTGTTCCCTGTATTGGAAGGGAGCCCTGGCTTGCTAGAGAGGAAACTGCCCCTCATTCCAAATGTTCCTGCAAAGTCTGCATTCCACTGTTACAGGCCTTGAGCCTGTTGGATCAGTTGGTTACACATCAGGGAAAAGGTGAGAGGCAAACTTTGGAGCAAACTGCCTGGACACTGAAATCCCTAAAGGAACATCCTGATGAAACTACACTGCTTTTCTTACGAAAACTCACCCACACTCAAAGGGATCTACCTTTTCCCACTGCAATCCAGAGTGGGAGACATTCACCTCTTCCCCACACCAAACACCTTGCTACTTCCAGAGTGGGACTGTGGGAGCAAACCCCCTGCAGCCACCCCCTGTGTGACTCCCCAGAAGATGGACACCACATTCCCCCAGGTGAAATCCTCCCACGGTGGGAGTAAACGGCACATGCCCTGGGAAGGGGCGACACCTACGATCTGGATGTACTTGCAGGAGCCCAGGCGGTCGTTGAGGCCCATCCAGTGGTGGTAGTCGGGGTACTCCCCGTGGGTCAGCACATACATGTTCCCAGCATAGTTGGGCCTCTCGTAGGCCACCCAGGTGCCTCCATCCACACGGATGGAGTTGCAGCGGTTCAGGTAGCTGTGGAAATCGGGGCAGTCGCTGTCGCACTCGTAGTAACGGCCCAGGAAGTTCTTGTCTTCATAGAAGGTGACCTGAAATGAGCAGAGGGGGCAGAGTGGGGAGGTTCCTCATCCAGAACATCTCTATATTCCAGCCACATCACGGCAGGAAATACCTGAAAGCAGAATCCTTGAGATATCAGAAATCATCAAGCCCAGCCATGGAATGGGACCAACTGCAGTCAGTCAGACTAATTCACCTGTCTGACCCCAATGCCTCCAGCTGCCACCAGTGTTCTGCCCTTCCCAGACCTTTGTTCTGTCCCAGTCCAACACAACACTCCCACAGAGAAGTCTCTGTCCTTTTTCCAACAAAACACTATCAAAGCAATTGTCTCCCACCTTCTCTAGATCAGGAGTTACTAAATTATGGCCAGAGAGCTGTGAGAAGTCAATGGAATGTACAAAGCAGGTTTCTGGGGAGATGGGTGGGTCTGGCAGCACTGGGTTAGCAGCTGGACTTGATGCCTTTAGAGGGCTTTTCCAGCCTTGACAATTCCATTATTTATGTTGACTTACTGAGTGTTTGCAGCGAGATCTTTACTGATTAGGAGGTGGAGAAGTCTCTTTCCTCCCAGCTCATGTCTTCAAGCCCATCCTTGTTCCCACTAGAACAACCCAAAACTTCCTTTCTCAAAACTCACTGCCCAAAGCTGGACACCACACAAGCTTTGCCCATGCCAGAGAAACTAAGGGAGCATTCCATGTGCGTGGTGGGGAGCAGTTTTATGGATATCCAAGGATTGTATTTGCAGTTCTGCTTTGGTTGCTGCAAGTCCATGAAACCTCTGACAAATTCACCATCCATCCCCACATTTCTTTCCCAAGAGCTGCTCTGTAGCCAGGCTGCTGACCCCAAAGCACTTTATCCTTGGTCATAGCCTGGCTTGAAATGGTCTTGGGAGCTGATTAGTGAATCCCATTCCTCCCACCTGAGGCATCCCCCACCCAGCCAGCCCTGCAGAGGAGACCCAGTTTTCCTCAAAAATCCTTTCATGAAAATATTGCCAAGCCCTAGAGCAGACCAGTCTTTTCTCCAGCCCCATTTTTAGATCCTTCCAGGTGACAATTACTCATCAAACGTTGCTCTTCTCCAAGACAATTCCCAAACCATCACATCTATCTTGACTACATCCCTTGCATGCTCACGACACCAGATGGTCTAGAGAGAATCTTTCTGGCCACACCCAACACGCAGTGGTCCACAATCCATTTTTCCCATGTTTTTTTTCCATACTTTGAGTATTAAGATACACCTCCACCTGCTATACTTCACCTACAGTGCTTCGGCTACTGGTATTGATGTAACCTCCCTGCTCTTAAAAAATCATTCTTTGTCAGTGTTTCAACCCAAATCCAGGACAACTCTCTCACTTTTTATTTTTAATCATTTGTTTTGTGCTAAAAATTAAATTAGCCGGAGTTTTCCTGGAGCTGGTTGGACAGCGTGTCCCACCAGCCTGACCAAGGGATCTAGGGAGTCAGACTGATCATGCCAGAGGATTCATGCTCTTGATTTTGTGGCCTGTTACTTGACATTTATTAGGATAATGCTATTTTCCTCTTAATTTCAGGGACTGATTTGCCAGCACAAAGCAGTTGGTGCACACAAAACAACCTGTCCCCTAACATCCTGAGAAAGCTCTTCCCACCTTCAGTGGAGAGCTGGGAACCACTCTGACCTTTCCAGCAGTGAATAAAGGCTGGAAAGGAGAGCACTGAATGCCCAGTTCCTGTTTTCCCACTCTTGGGCAGTTAACCACACAGGCCAGGTCTTCCCAGCCACAACCCACTGCCTTTTCCAGATCCTGCTTCTGGATCATTGTCCCTAAAGATATCACTCAAAAAATCTGCCAGCCTGACCCAAAGGCAACACTGAAAGCTCTGCTCACTGGGTTTGGCAGTCATGCATCACCACTCACCCTCTTCTTGAAGCCAGTGGTGAAGGAAGCCACAGCACCCCTGGAAAACCCTCTGCAGGGATTCATTTATTCCCAGTGTAGCATTATCCTCTGCTGGGATGGCTAATCCCTCTCTCCAGCATCTGTCCCCAAGCTCTGATCCTGTCCCACTCCTGTCCAACGTGGCTGATGATGAACTCTGCCCAGTGTGGATCTGCTTTCTGGGCAGAGAGAGCCTGGAAGGGCTCAAGGCCAGGTTGGATGTGGCTTGCAGCAACCTGAGATAGTGGAAGGTATCCCTGCCCTTGGCAGGGTGGAACTGGATGGACTTTAAGGTCCCTTCCAACTCAAACCATTCTGGAATTCAGTGATGTTCCTTCCCCACCCAGCCTAACACAACCAAACTGGAGCCTGGCAAAGCTTCCTAATGTTTCCAGGGGGGCATTTTCCCTATAAAACTACAAAGCCAAAGAAATCCAAAGGCAAGTTAAGGATATGGCTGTTCCTACAGAACTGTGTCCAAACTAAGTGCTGCTCCTTGGTTTAATTTCAGAATTCAAGGGGTCCTCCCCACCTGTTCTCCAGCACAGCCCTTCAGACACACCCTCAGCTCCTTTCAGACCTTTGCTTCCCAGCTTTCCTGCATGGATTCAGGCACCAACAGAGCAGGTTGATGTCTTCACCCAAGAATAATTACAGATTCCAATTCCAGATTTGCAGCTTTGTTTCTGTCCCCTCTCACTTGCAGGGAAATCGCTTTCCTTCAGCCAAACCCTGCAGGAGCTCTGCTCCCAGCACTCCCCTGTTAACCTCTCCATGCCCAGACCTTGCCTTTTGGGGGTTACCAGGCACATACCACATTTGCCAGAGCAGATCTTCCTTGCAGGAATGTAAAACTCTCACTTTGGTTACCTCACCTGAGTTATCACGTATTTCTTTTCAACAGTAGATTAGGTAGAAGAAAACTCATAAAAAAATATACAGTAGTGCCTCCTCTGTCAGCAGTGATCCCTTTCCAGGGCAGATCACTCACCAGGGTTGTGAGCAATGGTGTTTAATTCCCTACTTTGCCCTTTTCTTCTCCCTGGAATGTGCTAAACAAAAGCACAGCATAGAGAAATAGGAGATAGCTCCTCCTGGCCATCTTGCTACCCCCCAGCAGCACATATTCCATTAATTCCCCATGCCACACTCCAAGGGGACACGGCTTTCAGCAGGGGAAAGGCAGAATGTGCTCAAGGATTTCCAAGCTAACAGGAGACTCAAGGATGGAGCAGTTGCAGTTCCTCAGCACCTTTTTTAGGTTCAGGTAGAAAAAATTTGCACCCCAGGATCCAGGAGCCACCAGCACACCCTCCAACAGCCCAAGTCCTGAGAGCCACAGAGCAGAAGGACATGGAAAAGCCAGGACCAGATCTCCCATGGCATTGCCCAGTGCCTCCAAACCCACTGTGCTTCCAAAGCCCCTTGGGTCTCACAGCCTCCACAGGCTAAAAGGAACCCAGCCCAAAAGCTAAACTCAGATGAAGCTCTTCCTGCAGCCTCCTAACAGTGTTTGGCATTCCACAGGGGACACTGACCCAAGTCCTCACCCTCCTTTCCTTTCCCAGCTGTTTCTCCCTGCCCAGTCCCAGACCCAGTACGAGTTCTGTGGGATCAGCGATCCAGGAGCCACCAGCACACCCTCCAACAGCCCAAGTCCTGAGAGCCACAGAGCAGAAGGACATGGAAAAGCCAGGACCAGATCTCCCATGGCATTGCCCAGTGCCTCCAAACCCACTGTGCTTCCAAAGCCCCTTGGGTCTCACAGCCTCCACAGGCTAAAAGGAACCCAGCCCAAAAGCTAAACTCAGATGAAGCTCTTCCTGCAGCCTCCTAACAGTGTTTGGCATTCCACAGGGGACACTGACCCAAGTCCTCACCCTCCTTTCCTTTCCCAGCTGTTTCTCCCTGCCCAGTCCCAAGTTCTGTGGGATCAGACAGCTCAGCTCTGCTAAACCCAAGCCTGAGGAGCTGGATCCCACCTGAGATGTCACTCCAGCTGAAGCTGAGCTTCCCAACCTACCTCCTTCTCCGATTTCAGTTCATCCCTGCCGATTGCACCGAATCCCAAGGCCAGTGTGCATCCCTCAGGAAATACTATTCCCTTCGGTGCCGTGGCCATCCATGGAGCCCTGCTGTCACAGCACACCCTCTGCTCCACCATGGAAAAGGGATGTGGCAGCTCTGCTGGTGCTGGCAGTCAGGCTCTCTCCAAGGGAGCCTTCCATGAGACCCCGCTCTGCAGGCGCAGCGATTCCCAGCTGGCACACGGGGCCCCTCCACCCCCAATTCCCAAGGCACCAGACCCTGCTGGTTTAGAACCATTTCAAAATGCCTCCTCACCACTCACTGTGCTTGACTCCATCCTCTGGCAGAGCCACACCTAGAGGAACCAGCCAAAATCTGGGAAAATACTTGGGAGGGCTCAGCTCCAGCTTCCCTCCACGTGAGGAGGGATTTCAAGCATCTCCCCCTGCCCACACACTGACAGAGGAGGAAGCTGTCAGCAGAACAAAGAAAACAAAGTTTCTCCACAATTCATCCCTGCAAAATTCTGCACTTTTAGCCAAAATCATGAATACACTGCAAACAAGCTTACCTTGGTTCCAGCTCTGGACATTTTCCGTTCCAGCCAAGCTCCCCTGTGCCGGAGGAACGTCAGCAGCTGTTACAAACAGCCAGGATCCGAGGTGCCCTTTTTATAACGGGCTTGTTTTAAACCAGACAGCCGCTTTGTCATGAGAATAGGATCCAAAAATTGAGTCAGTGATTCTGAGGCTATAGCCGATTTCCAGAAAAGCAAACAGGATTATGGAATAAAGGAAGGCTTCGCCATCCTCCCTTTGTTACCATTTGCTGAGTCAGAACACCAAAACTCTGCCAAATGCACTCAAAACACGCAGCCCCCTGCCAAGGACGGGCGGTAATTTGGCTGCTCCCTCCCTTCCAAGCTTGTTAAACAAGAAGGAATCCTCGTTGGCTCTTGGAGACCCACCCCATTTGTAAGGAGGGCACATGGTATTCATCAGGGAATGTTCTGTGCAGTGAAGGATGCAGTTAAGGAATGACAAACGTGCTCAGAGCAGACATCAGAGGCTTGCAAAGGCCAGCTCTGCATTGAAAGCTCTCAATGGAGACATCTGTGCAGCAAAGAGGCTGCAGATTTTCCTGGGACACCCTCAGCTGGAGCCACACTACTCCAAACACCTCCTGACGTAGCGGGTAAGGAGGATGTGTGGCCACCTCCCCACCCCCCACAGAGTGATTTCACACATCAAACAATGCCCAAATTTCTGTTGTCTCTGCAAGTGTCACAAATTCAACCCCAACTCTCAGCCCAGCACCTGAGGTTGGAGCAGAGGACTTTTCCCTTCAGCCACACTCCGGCCCTGGGAGCGGGGAGGCCGAGGATCACTGGCTTCCACAGCCACCCCCCCCGCCAGTGCATTATGAAAAACCACCTCTGCAGCTATTCAGTGCCCCAGCCCAAAGGCTTAGTGAGACAAAGGGACACGAATTTGGCACAGCAGTGCCCGAAACACGCAGCCCCTCTTTCAAATCTGTCAGGACAAGCACTCTCGCAACAGCAGCTCTGTAAATGCAGGCAGATGGGAGAGCCTGGGGCACACACAATCAGCAGCTGCTCCTCTTCCCATTTTAGGAGCCTTGAATCACCCAGAGCTGTTGCTCTCACTGAGGCCACTTGGATTGATTTAGTTTTTAACTCCTGAAGATCACAGATCAAGCACAAGCTGGGTTCTGTTACCAGGTTCACAGCTCAAAGCTGTGATCATTTTTTGCACATCCCTTTCTTTAGAGGTTGGTTAAACACAATAAACTTAGATTACATAAATAGAATAAATACAACAAACTCACCTCACCTGCCTGCCCAGGAGCCAAGGGAGACCTTCAGAGGAATTCTGAGGCTGTGCACTCAAGAGCACTGTGCCTTCCCCTCACTCTCAGCTTGGATTGCTCTTCCCAAGGCACCACCAGCTGCTGCCTCCACTCATCCATGCAATGCCTTTGCCTATTTTCCATGCTTATTTAAGTGCTCAGCTATGAGCACATCTCCCCAAAACACATCCCACCAGCACATGAGAATGGTGCTTATTCAAGCTGATAATCTTTATGAAAATTATGAGAGATAGGAATAGGGCTTGTATCAAAACATTGTGCCAGGGCAGCCTTCAAAACCTTCAGCTGCATGGCTGAAGCTTACAGGAGTTTTACTTTCAGCCTGGCAGAACTACATTCCTTTTTTTGCTCCACTTTCCCCATAAATTAGCAGTGTCTCTCTCTGACAGGTTCACATCTCGTTAAGATAAAAGATGCTGTGTCCCCCTAAGACCAACTGTACAGGTAAAACCCCTTCCCCAGGACACGTGCCAGGTTTATCCAACAAATCTGGTTTATTGACATTTGTCAAAACGATGCAACCATATACAAAAATTAATCCTCAAAAAGTGCCACCTTCATATTAAAAAAAAACCTGTTTGATTTCTCTCATTAAAAATTTAAACATTTCTTTTTCACATTTATAAAAACAGCACCACTGGTTTGTACCATGAGGATGCAGGTGATGCCCAGGGCCTGCATCCAGCTTTGTCCCAGGAAACCTGGTGTGCTGGACACCATGGACACTAACTGCTGTGACAGCTCTGCAACAAGGCACACTTCATCTTCCCCCAGTGCCAGGCACCTCTCAGTCACCAACAGGATGGCTACAGCACATTCCTGGGAAAGCAGCAATGCTCAGGAATCCCACAGCAGCCAGGCAGTCCCATCCACACCAGGGCTGGGCGTCAGATCCAGTGGGTGCAGGTGGGATGGCACAAAGTCTTAATGAGAACTGGGCTGAGTGGATCACTGGCTGGTCCCAGAGCTCTGGAACAAAATAAAAGGAGACAATTTTACTTCTAACACCAGGAAAAAAAAAAAAAAAGGAATTCAAAGGCTAAATCAAAAATAAAACAATTTTCTAATGGTTTGAAACATGCCATGGCAGAAGAGCCCAATAAGGGCAGGTCTCCAGCCCCTAAACCACTTCTGCTTGGGAAGAATAATTGAGAATTATCTAAAGTCTTATTGTAAGAATTACCCAAAGTCTCACTCAACTCTCTTCAGCAAAAAGTGAGATGGGTAGACATCAATACAGAGTTTCTTTGAAAGAGCAGCTATTCCAATCAGTTTTATATCACATTATGTGCAATTTGCCCATCTGCCTTACAGATGCCTCCAACAAATCAAACTTTGCAACAAGCCCATGCTGAGGACACAGATTTCAGCTGAGAATGGGTTTTGTCAGGAAAGTAAGAACTAAACCCAAATGCCAGGCTCTTGTGAGAACATTCACTCAGACTGAATACCTCTGCCTTGGCTGTGCACACCAGCATGGGACAATGGGACAATTCTTGGAAGAAGCAAGAGAAAGAGGCCTTTTACTCACCTCCCTTTCCTTCTGCTGCTCAGGAATGTTATCCTGCTGCCTGCTTGGAGCCCAGGGCAGGAGGGACCAGGCTGTCCAGCTGCTGCAGGTTCCCTGTCTGAACCAGCCACTCATAGAATTTGTTTTCTACCACAGTCTGGAACTGTTTCCTCTGATCCCTGGAACAGACACATCAGCAGGGAAATACAGAAAAATCACATTTATTCACAGTATTATACTTCTACCAGGTCTTCACTATCCAAACAAGCCTCCAGATGTATCAGGAAGAGCCAGGCTTGGCTCCTGAACATTGCAGAGACAACCAGAAAAGGTTTTCACTGAGTGAATGTGATGCTAATGAACACCAAAGGCAGAACCTGGTGGAGTTGGAGAAGTCATACAAAATTCCCCATCCCACCACCACAACCACCCTGCTCCAGGGCTGCCTCCACTTTCCCCTCAGGGCACAGCTGAAAAACTGTCTGAAAAGGGAGAAAACTAAGATTAGCAAGCAGTGCTTAAACACTAAGGACACGAAATTCTGTTCTGACAGCACCAGAGAGGATGGAGATCAGGGAAAAAAATGCACCTATAAACACATCTCACATAATTTCTGTTGCTCAAATGAACATTTGAGGTGTTTTTGGCAAGCCTAACAGGGTGGGCCACTCAGCTCAGGCTAACAGGCACTGGTCAGATGCCCAAAAGTATCTCCAGAACAGCATCCCAGCCCTCTGGGATCAGCTCACATTGCAATTTCTTAAGCCAAAGGTGGCACAGGTGTTGAGTAGCTCCTGATGGACTTTTCCAAGGAGTTTACACAATTAATTTCTGAACACCAATGAAATGTGAACATTTTTCAATATTCTGGAGGTTTGATGTGGGTTTGCTTTGAACCCATTCCTAATTTGATGTGCTGACCCCATTCTGTACTGGGAAAAGCAGAAAACCAGCTCCAGAGGAGACCACAAAGGGGAACAGAGGGATGGAGCACCCCTCCTCTAAGGAAAGGCTGGGAGATTTGGAATTGTTCAGCCTGGAGAAGAGAAACTTCAGGGTAAAATCACTGTGGCCTTCCAGTGCCTGAAGGAGCTACAAGAAACATGGAGACTCTTTGAAAGAGCCTGAAGTGACAAGGGAGAATGGCTTCCCACTGCCAGGACAGGGTCAGATGGGGAATTCCTCCCTGTGAGGGTGCTGAGGCCCTGGCACAGGGTGCCCAGGGAAGCTGTGGCTGTCCCTGGATCCCTGGAAGTGTCCAAGGCCAGGTTGGACAGGGCTTGGAGCAACCTGGGACAGTGGAAGCTGTCCCTGCCCATGGCAGAGGGTGGAACCTGGTTGGGTTTTTAAGATCCTTTCCAATTCAGGCCATTCTATTCAGTTTTGCCCTACTCACCCCCAGATAGGCTCCATGTATCCACACTCTTTTTTCAAGTTAAGGCTGCTGTCTGTATGTTCTATTCCATTTGAGCCATTCCCCAAAAAGCAGGGGTTTGGAACACAAACTAACCCAAATTCCTCCCCAGTGAACACAAAGGCAGTCACTTCTTTCTTCCCTTGTGGATTTATCTTCTCCAAGAGCTTTTTCTCTACCTTGATCTGCTACTGACCCTGAAAGACTTTCTGTCTGATACGCTCAGAAAAATGAATAAACAGGATTTTATGCTTTTGCAAGTTGTTCCTCAAGCTGTCTTCTTGGTCCTGTCTTACTGAGGTTTTACTTTCAGCCTGGCAGGATTTACATTCTTTTTTTGCCCCAGTTTCCTCAATCAGACAACATCAACTTCTTGAAAGATGTCTTCTTATTTCTAACACTCTCTTTCACCTCCCCGCTCGAGCACAGCAGCTTTTTTCTTTCTACAAGCCTGATATCCTGTTTGCTCTAAGCTTCCTACTTGTCTCCCTTCTTGTTTCCCTGCCTGCAGGAGACAACAGACATTTTCCACTGTCAGCTGCCCAGTTTCTTTTCAACAAGCCTCTAAACTTGCCAGAGTTTCCCCCCTTTTACAGAATAAGCAGCGAGTTCTTGCCTCCTGTGACTACAGCAGATGACAGCAAATCTAAGCACATCATCCCTATTTCCTCACATTTCTTTCACAGGAAAGTTCTGACAGGCCAAACTCCTTCCCAAAACTGTGGAGGGAAGCAGCAGCCCAGGGAGAACAAGAGATGTTTGAAATGGGGTTTTATCC